TACAAGAAAATATAAATTAAGTGATTCATCATTATGACTTATAATTTGAATAGTGCATTATAAATATTTTAAACTTTCGTAAATTTTATGGTATGTAAGAAAATCATAAACTTACGCAATATGTTTACGCAAATTTACGCTTTTCTTACGATGCGTAAGAAAATCATAAATTTGTGTAAGCATATAGTGTAAATTTACACTTTTTTTACGCATAATAAGAAAAGCGTAAATTTGCATAATATGTTTATGTAAATTTACGATTTTCTTACAATGTATAAGAAAAGCGTAAATTTGTGTAAACATATTGCGTAAATTTACGATTTTCTTACATACTGTAAAATTTACGAAAGTTTACGCTTATATATTTTTGCTAATATAGCCCAAGAATGTTTTGTTAAAAATGCTTATCTCCTTGGATGCATATAGCTTTTGCTTGTCCTTGTTTGCAAAGACCATTTCTAAATAGATACATTTTAGTGAAAAGTGCTAAAATGATATTGTTAGATGATATATTCACAAGATTCTGAATATTAAAGATTAGTGCATTTTTATTCCTAGAGTGTATTTTTTGTCTAGATGCAGTGTTTGAAAAGGTAGCTCTTCTCTTTTTAGTTTAGGGAACAGGTCAGACCATTGCCTAATTTTAGCTTGGTTATTTCTGGTTTTGTTAGATTGTGTATCTCTAGTTGAGTTACTAGTGGTTTATTCACTTGTTGTTTTTCTGCTACTAGTGGCATGTCACATGGTTTCTTTACATGTTGCTTTGCTTTCTGTTAAGACAGCCTCTGTATTTTCTTTTGTATGTTTTTCAAATGCTTTAGCTTTGTTTATGCTTGTTTTTTTATATTTTTCTTGATGTTGTCTACCCGATTATTCTTTTTTACAGTGTCTTACTACTGTTTTGCCAAATTATTTGAACTTTCTATACTTTCATTTGCAAGTAGTAGCATGTTAAGGACCTTTTCTTTGTTGTTGTTGTTGTTAAGTTTAGCTCGTTTGTGTGTTGAGCTGCTCATAGTTAAGGGTTCAGGTTTTCTTTACTTAGAAATAAGGGCCAGAGCCCCCTCTGATAAGTTTTGAAAAAAGTATAATAAGTTTTGTATAGTAATTTTTGCTTTCTATATTTTTTTGAATGTGAGATTTTTTTTGGGAAGTTTCTCTTCTTTAGTTATTCCTTGCATTAATTTTAAAAACTATTTGATTTTTGCTACTGTGCCAAGATTATATTTTTGGAGCTTATATAGTAGTAGGTCGAAGTAAATTCTCTATAAGAGAGGTGATTACCTCTCTTTGGTCAATTCCTCTTTTTGCATGAAAGCCTTCTGTTAAGCCAAACTTGGTAATTACTTGAGTATATTCTCCTTGGAGCCCTGCAAAATTTAGACCTTGTAAAATCTTGTGTAGTATAATGCAATTACTCAATCTCCTTTGGATAATTCTAATTAGCTCTTTTCTGGTTACTTTAGTTAGTTTTAGAATTGAAAAAATCATACCAATTTTCCATTTTCTTGGCATTATCCCTTTCTCTAGAATAACATTTCAGGAGAGGTCCTACTAGATCTATACTAATTCATTCAAAGGTTTCATCTACCTTTTTCACATTTTTAGCAGGTTTCATATAATTATATATAGCTTTGGATATCTCAATATATTTGGTCCCAATAGTATCATTCAGATATTTTATAATACATAGCATCAGTTCCTAAATGTCCAGTGGGATGACTATGCATCATCACTCGGATGAGTTTGGTAGAGTCTTTTTGGTTCTTCTTGTAGAGCAGTTTATTTTTAAGTTCATAGTATCTAGATTGTTTAATGATTGTCTTTTGTTTATTGTCAGTAAGTTTAGAGGGTAGTGTGTCTGATTCTAAGTATTCTATTAAATTTAATATTGATCTAAATTCATTTAGCAGATGTTGAAGAAGAGGAATGTGTCTGGATCGGTGGGCATCACCATTGGCCTAAGTATCGTTTAGGTTGTAAAAACTTTAACCATTTGAGAGCAAAGTAGTCAGTAATTAGAGTGAAGTAGTTTGTACCAAAGGATTTGTGAAAGTGATCAATAGCCCATACTATGGTAGCACATTATAGTTCAATAGCTCCATAGTTAACTTCTTCCTTTTTTAAACTTTTGCAAGCATAAGCAAAATAGGATGTTCTTTCTGGTCATGAGATATTTAACTTAGGGTGGCTCCAAATCTGGTATAGAAAGTATCAGTTGCTAATATGAATTCTTGTTTATAGTTTGAGTAGATGAGAATAGAGGCAGTAATAAGTTGTTGACAATGTGAGTTCCATTCATAAGGACAATCATTATGCAGCAGTTGGTTAAGAGGATGAGCAATAGAGAAGAAGTTTTTAATAAATCTTCTATAATACTTGGCAAGACCTAGGAAGGATCGAATTTGAGTAATATTTATCTGGGTCTGGGAAGATTCCTTTTTCTTCTATAATATGTCCTAAGAAAGATTATCGTTTCATCCAAAAGATACATTTGTCAAGGTTAAGTCTTAATCTAGCTTTTCTAATTCTAGTAAATACTTCATGTAAATATTTAATATTATCCTCAAAGGTCTGAGAAAATATATTAGTATTATCTAGAAAAACTACTACATATTTATAAGCAATGTCTTTGTAATGAAAGCAGTTTTCTCTCTATCATCTGGGTGAACTTTAACTTGCCAATATCCACTCATAAAATCTAAAGTAGAAAAATACTAGAGAATCTAGCATTTTATCAATTCTAGGTAAAGGGTATTGATTTTTCTTTGTGATAGTATTTAGTTTTTGGTAGTTAATACAAAATCTTTTTTTTTTATTTTTTTTGTAATGAGTACAACAGAAGAGGTTCATGTGCTAGAAGATTCTTATATCAACTTATTATTCAATATTTGTTGTACTTCTTTATTAATAAAAGTTTGCTTGGTAAAAGATACTATATTTACAGGAGATACATTCTTGGTAAATATTCGGTGAGTTACCAGGTCAGTTTTTCATATTTTTTGCAAAAAGGTCAGAGAATTCCATAAGTAAATGGTGGAATTAGGCTCCTTGGTTTGGGCTTAAAGATCCTATTTTTGGTGCAATTTCTTGTCTATTTCTATCATTTTCAGATTCTTCAAGTAGTTTTTAATCTTGCTTAGGATAATTTAAAAATTTCAGATCTCTTTAGCAGAATCTTGAGGGAAGAGAAATTCATTATAAAGATTCTTTATTTGATAGTGGAACTGTTTAAACTTATCAACTTTGATCTGTAGTATGACAATAGTTTGGGCTTGTTGTTTGGTGGCTTGAACTTGTCTTTGTAAATAACTAATTATTTGAGCTTGTTGTCGAACTTGCTTTTGTAGTAAATTGATTATTTTTTGTTAGTTAGATTGTGCAGGAGGAGATGAAAAAAGTTCTGGTTCCATTTGTTAATAGTAAGCTTTATAATAGTATTCTTGGTAGCAGGCTTCAAATTGTTTAAATTTGGTTTTGGGTTTGGCTATAAGACAGTCCTTGCAGAGTTCCTTGAAAATTTTTTTGCAAGTTTTCCTTGGCTTTTTGTTGGTTAAAATCTGGATAGCTAATATCAAAAGATTCTTTGCAATTTTGTTTCTTCAGTTTTGGCTAACTGGACTTGAGAGGCTCTTAATATCTTTATCTTAGTTAGAGCAATTATTAGCAAGAGGTTCAAGAGCTTGAGCAAGATGTTTGGTACTTTCACCTAACTGAATCATGGCTAGTGAAAGATACATCTTTGGTAGATCATAGGCATGTTCAGCATTTCTGGTAGACTTGGTATAATGTCAAACTTAGATTCATAGATTAAGATTGAAGTCCCATTCTACATCCTTGGCAGACTTGTAAGCATACAAGTGTTTCAAATTGCAAAACCAAGAGTCTTCTCAGATAGTATTTAGTTTATACATTCTGAATCTAATACATTCTTCTTTACAGAGCTTAAAGTTCTTTTCCCATTACCATTAGTAAAATATTTTATGCTACAGGAATTATTTCTATCAAGCTTATAATGGAAATCAGTCTAACAAACTTTACAAACTAAAGTTTGTTCTAATATTTTAAGGTCTTCTGGCTTTTGAGATACTTTATATTTATAGCATGGCAAGAAGAATAGTAATATTGTTGACAACTTCAACTTTACTTGGAGAATATCCACACATGCACCTTTGATTTTCTAAGATAAAAGCATTTTGAAAGCAATTCATTCTAATGTGACTATACTGATTACATTAATAACATTGGTTTTCTGGGCAGTCCTTGTAGAAGTGGCCTGGCTGAGAACAAATCCTACATGTGGATCATTTAGGAGCTGCTTGAACAATATACAACAAGATGGCCATATCTATTGCACTTAAAACATTGGTTATTTGGGCAATTATTAAAGAGGTAATTAATGGAAGAGCAATTTCTACATTCTTGGTTGGTACTAGAGTAAGGTCTGGATCTGGAGGTAGAGGCAACAGGTGGGTTTGCTTCAAACATATAAGCTTCTCAAGAACTTAGATATTCTTGTTCAAATTATTGCAACTCTTTCTCATTAGTAACAGTAGGTTGAGCAGGTAGAGGTTGGTTGTATTCATTTTTCACTTAAAAGTATAAGCTTTATTCTTCCAATTGTAGATAGCTTTGACTTTTTGTGACCAGTCATTATCTAAGAGTAATAAGTAGAAGGCAATATTTATTACTTTTATATCAAGAGGGATAGTTACACCTTCAATTTCTACAAGGAGATTTTTTGATAATTTCTAAAGGTTGAACAGAAGATCTGGCAGCAGATAAGATAAGGCTAGTAGAGGAAACTTCTATTTTTAGTTCTAATTCTTTGTACTACTATCTATTACAGCTTGATAAGGTTTTTCTTTAAGTTTAATATTGCATTTCACAGGAGTAGTATAGGAGGGAGTTTGTGTCTTGGTTTTAGCTTTCTTAGCTAAATATCCAGCTAATGCTTCTATTAACTAGAAAAGTTTTGAACTGTTCATAAGTATAGTCATTTGCAATTTCCACAGTATATATATCACAAAGATAAGGAGTAGAAGAGTGGCTTCTGGATCAGTTAGAAGATCAATAGTCCCTATCATTCTTAGATCTATTTTTGAATTGACACTAGCTTCTAGATCAGTCATATCTAGAATGGTTAGAATTTTGGTTCCTGGATCTATTCCTATTACTGGTCATAGAATTGATTATCTCTAGAAGAGTAGTTACTGCTTCAGTTATGAGAATAATCATGGAATTTCTTCTTTTATTATCTTTTCTAACATGGCAGTCTCGAATAAAATATCCTTCATTACCATAGTAGTAACATATTACACTATTATTATCTTGTTGTAAAAGTAGAAGAAGGAGGAGATATAGTTAAACATTCAATAGCTTGGTTAGTATTTTCTGTTTCACATTATTTAAATTAGCAAGTTCAGATACTTGGATATTTATAGTATATTTTGGTCAGAGTTTTTGAATAAAGAATTGGATAAGAAAAGAGGCAAGGTAATTGTTTTCTGGATCGACTCTGGTTCTAAGTTGCTTAAAATGGCCAACATAGATATTAACTGTATCTGTTCCTTGTTGTCTAGTTGTACTAAATTTTTCTTTAAATAAATTAGTAAAACTTCTAATATTAACATGGTTTACTACTTGACCATGTTCTGTATAGAGCATTTTTCTTTATGTAAGTGAAGGCTAACTCTAGTTGTTGGGCAGCACCTCAGTGGTTGGCTCCAGCAGAATATTCAAATTGTTCTATTCAAGTTATAGAATCTTGGGTTCTATCACCTTAGTAGAAATCTATTTTAATAAGAGATTTTTCACCACCATGTTCTAGATTTTTGGCTAGAGTGATCAAAGCTTCAGTAGCAGTAGTGAAAGCAGCTTAGCCATTTCATTTATGAGATTTCTGTAAGTGGAGAAGAAAGTAAATCAATTTGAAGAAGGAATTCAATATAAGTAAGTATCCTCATTATATGGAGCTAAATAAAGAGAATTGGAGTAAGGGTTTTCTAGATCTGTAGGTCTAAAAGTATATATAGATTGTATAGGAGAAGTAACAAAATCAAAATTCTCTTGGTTAGCAAGAATAGGAAAAGGTTTCCAAAGTTATAAGTAGTACACAGGTCAAAGGCATAAATATCTATAAATATTAGATACCCAATAGCTAACGATTGCTAACTATCTGCACCAAAAATCTGATCTATATTGGCAATATGTCAAAAAAATATCAGAAGCATATCGGGTAAAAAATAATTATTTTTTACCCGATATGCTTCTGATATGTTTTGACATATTGCCAATATAGATCAGATTTTTGGTGCAAATAGTTAGCAATTGTTAGCTATTGGGTATCTGATATTTATACTTTGGACCTGTGGTAGTTGGAGGATTCCAGAAGAATGATATGATAGTAGAGTTTTCAATATATAGGTCAAATGCAGTTGCTTCAAAGTTGAGAGGTAAAGTTGGTAGAAGAGTGAAATTTGAGTGAGATTCAAGGAGGACAGCAATAACTGCTTTAGGATCTAAATGTGTTATTATATTGGCAGCTAAAAACAATATCTCTAGTAGCTGCACTGGCAATATTATATTCTTTAGCAGTGATTAGTATAAATGAGAGTTAACAGTTTTTTGAGTATATTTAGTGGCTTTATACTGGTCTTGATATAAAGGCCAAGAACAATGATAAACATAGTAATAAGTTGCAGCAGGATAATACACTTTACAAGATAAATCTGGAAATGAAGTTTGTATAACTGATACTGCAAAAGATGAAGAATGTTGGGTTTTATAGGCTTCAATTTGTTGCAGATGAATTTGGTATGCTCAGTACATGAAGAAAAGAAAAAAAATAAAATAAATTCAAACTAATTTGGAATTACTTATGCCTACACTTTGGCTTATGAGTAATTCACACTTAACTTCTTGTTAAGGTTTACAATAAGCTATGAGCTAGTGTTCCAAATTGTTAAAATTTTACCAACCGGTTAGTTGCCAACTATAGTTGGCAACTAACCTGTTACATATATCACATGACTGATTTAACCGGTTAGTTGGTTAGTTGGTTAAATTGGTTAAGTTGGATAGTTGGTTGGTTGGTTATTGGCTAAGAGCGACAATCAAAAAGTTAGGCCGGAATTACTCATAATTTTACTAATAAAATCACAGCCACCCATGAAGTGAAAATTGTTCTTGGCCAATTTTACTATAATGCTGGCTTATTTTTTAAATATTTCTATTTTTGTAATGAAAAAATTAAAAAATTGATTCTGGCCAGAAATTAGGAACAATTATATAATGTGGGCCAAAATTTTGGAGATCATTGGCCGTTAGCCAATCAAAATCGAGGATCTGCCATGCATTTTTTGTGCGGCACCTAGGGAAAGCTTATTTTCTACTGTGCCATAGATCTCTGGTTGTATAAGGCCTGGAGAGCTCTTATACGACCAGGAATTTACCTCTTATTCCCACCATTGCAATAATTATAATAGTGGGTGTAATTAAAATAAGCCATTTTTATATTTATATTCTAAAATATGTCAAAAAAATTTTGCCACTTAAGTTATTTTATCTTGGTAAGATTATTTATTTCTCACTAAGTTACTTATTCAGGTTATAAATTTAACTGGTAAGTATCTAATCAAAGAACTTTCATACTTCCACCATAGGGTAAGTTAAAATATTGTATATTCGCTTTATTAATACATACATTTATATTTATATTTATAAGTTTAAAGATTTCATGCAATCAGAAAGTAACACTCTTAAAGTATATGGATTAACTCAGGAAAGCACATATATTCGTTCATGATTTAAGTATACAAATTGCAACCGATATAATACATCAAAAGCACAAGAACAGACAAGTGAAAATAAAGATGTTGATAATTGCATTAAAGAATTACAACTTAAAGCACAGAATATGAAGATGTAATGTTTAAAAGATTGGTAATAGACTCAGCAAACTGGTTAAATGGAATACAATATGTATATGAATATAAATATGAAGATGAATATATACAATCACGTATACTACTATTTAAAGTAGGACTCAGCACTGTTTAATTGAACAGTTATTTTCTTGTCCTTCTCATGGTTGACTGCGACTAACTTGGGCAAATTTTCATTTAATAAAATCCAGTCGTTATATATTTATTTATAATTACTTAAATCCAAGTTGGTTAATTGAATAAAAACTTTATTAACGTTGTAATATTAATTTAAATAAATAAAAAATTTAACCTTTTAAACTTTATATAAGAGGCTAAAATATGCTTAATTTTTAATAGTAAATTTTTTATCAATGTATGCACTTATTAGTTTTATTAGTTTATTGTTCTGTACTGATTTAAAGACAATATTATTTATTTACTAATTAATTGGTGAATATATTCGAGAAGTATTTTAATCTTTTTTATTATTATTATTATTATTATAATGTTATAGTAGAAACTTTATTATAGTCAGTCTGAAGATTGAAAGTTTTCTCATAGTTTACAGATTCAGATAAGGGGACAGATAAGTTATTTATTTATAACCAGGCTGCTAAAACCCTTCAACTTGAACGAGTAAATTATGGGAAGTTTGATTAGAAAATAATTTCTATAGTTAAAGATTTCTAGCTACACTTGTGCTACAAAGCACCCAGTGTGACATTACACCTCCTATTTTCTATTTTAATACTATTATTAGTTTAAATGAATAAAATAAATCTAGCTAGGATAGGTTGGAAAAAACTCTAAGTACCTTAATCTTAATTGTGGTGTATCAGTATATATTTTGTCTCTATAAATATAATTTTCCTTAATTATCCTTATTAATCATGGTGATTTAGTTTTATCTGAACTCAAGCCTACTTGTACTTGTACTGTATTATAATGCTCATAATCTAAACTCAACAAATTGCAAAAAACTAGGCTATATGTGTTTATTTTATTTATTTATTTTTTTTAAATTTCGGCAGTCTTGCCTCTACTTTATTAGGCTTAATAATATTATACTATGAAATATTAAAATTTTCAAAAGGCTATTCCTCTTGACACCTAACTTACAAGTATTAGCTCACCCGGTTATTCAATGAACACCTATATGCAACCTGCTATAGTAAGTTTTACCTTTGTATTAACTTGTTCTGCACTTAGATTCATTAATACTTTGACAGAAGGTTCTTACAGCCTGTCAAGACTACTAATTGCTCTGCATGTTGAGCACCTATAATCCAATTTGATACTTCGTTTCTCAGTATTTCCAATATTGAGATCTATTTTTTACTTTCTTCTTTTTTTCTACTTTTCTGTTCAAGTGATTTGTCAGATATTTTTTCTTCCTCTTTTAGATTTTGGAGTGGCATTCTTCTTTTCTTTGGGTACTATGCCATTTTCTTTCTCCTATTCCTGTACAAGTTTGTATCTGGGAACCCATATTGTCTCATGTATCTTTTTCATCCAATTCTTCCAGAGCTGAATTATGAACTTTTTTGCTTGGTTGTTAGAATTGAAGAATGGGTGAATCTCTTTGATGTTACCATTTGTAATAAGGCCTCTAATCCATATTTCTCTTCTTCTTAATTCTTCAGATGTACTTTCTTTACCCAATATCACAAAAATGTTTTCTTTATTTATACTTACATTGCTTTCTTCTTCGAGCTTTTTAAGAATTAGTTCTACTTCTTGTTCTTCTATACTACGCAACAATTCAAGGAAGACTTCGCAACTAACTAAATGTTCAACATTCTCAGTTTTCTTTTTACATATTATGTAAACATCTAGTTTTCTCTGATTTAGCCTTTCAAAAACTGGTAATAAATTGTTTATACACTTTAATTCAAAGAGCTGAATGTTATTTGATATGAATATATGATTTTGTTGCTTAATTTCACTTTTTAAAAGTCCATAGAATATTGACCAGCACTGGTGAGTCTTTCTTTCTCTATGTGTAATATTTTGAGTACTGTGTACAAAGATCCATTCTGCCCTGTTTATTACTTTTCCGAGCATTTTGGTAAAAGATCATAGTGGCTTTTCTACTAGTTCAGTTCCCGGAATAATATGGGCATATTTTTTAAGAATTTCTATTTTTGTAATGAAAAAATTAAAAAGCTAATTCCGGCTGAAAATTAGTAAACAATTTAAGATTCTCAGCCGTTGGTCAATCAAAATCGCCAATTTTAGTCTTAATTTGTATCCCTTTGTACTTAGTGATACTGGGGTTAAGAATTCTGCCAGGTTATTAAAAAAATTGCCCAAATGTCCTTTGACTTTTGTGAGGTGCAGCTTCAATTGTTTTGTCTGAACCACTTCTGTTACTATTGCGATGAGGCTGCTATTTTTAATCTTTAGCCACTGTCTTGTTTTATTTGACTCCAGACCTTTTATAATTGCTAAAATTGCTGCCTTACTATCTGTTCTGATTTCAACCTCTTTTTCTTTTGGTGCTACTAATAAGGCAATGAGGATCGCAACTAACTCAGCTCTGGTTGAAGAAAACCACTTTTCAGTTGCACATGCTATTTGATGAACAATTTGATCCCCCTTATCTATTTGGATTATTCTACAGCCCATTTGCATTTTCAAATCATTTTCTAACGTCCCGAGTGAGCCATCTGTGTAAAACAAAAGACTATCTAATTCTCTATTTTGCTCTAAAACTTTGACTAATCTATTTCTTAGTTCTTTGTCTAAAACTACTCTATCTATTAATAGTTTCAACTTCTATTATTAGTATGTTTTGTTTTTTTACACTTCATAACTCTTTGGGAGATACCACAATTTTCCCTCTTTTTCTCTAACACTTTTCCAAGTGTGTTCATGTTGAGGATTAGTTTTGTACCTTTTTTAGTTTTTTGTACAAAGTTCGAAATGTCTCTTAGCTCTTTTCGTTTAACTATTGATGTTTCTGGTCTACTAATATACTCTAGAGAATTTTGTTTAAAATTTGAGCTTGCCACTGCTAACTCACTATAGTTCTCAACCTCTACATACTTGTTTTCTTTTTCTTTAACTTTTCCAAATCTGATATTTGCATTTCCTTTGTCTTTCCACAAAACTCACTCTTTTGTTCTTTTATCTTTTTTAACTCTTTCTACAACTAATTTGAGATTGTTTCTGTTGCAAGGTACAATTCTGAACTCTGACTTGACTTCTTTTGACAGTGGGTTTATAATCATTTCTCTTTCTAAATTGTTAAACCATTTCACTTTTCTTCCTCTCTTACCTATATTGCACATTCACTTAATTTGTTGCCATGTATACATCAACTTGCCATCTTCTGCTATAAGCTATGATAGATAGAAAACCCCATTTTGCTCGCATTTGACTCTTCATATGAAAGGTTACTTCTCTCTAAAATCTCAGCTACTTCAAGATTGTTTACTCCTAACAGAGGCTCAAAATCCCAGCTTTTTGTAAAATTGGTTTCTTCTATTGAGAAACCTAGCATCTTTGCTTGTTGTAAGATCTGCAAACCCAGGTTTTTTAATTTAATCTCACATTTCTCTAGTAGTAAATGGTTCATTAGAATGCATTTGGTTGTGCACATTTTTACTTTAGTCTCATTAGTATAGACTTTTCCACAGGCTCTTCTGCATTTATTCTTACTAATATTCTACAAACTTTTGAGATTTGCTATTTTTGGGTGTTTTGGAATTGCATTTGCTGCTGTCGAGGGCATTGACAACTTCCATTTGGTCAGACACACTATAGATTGGTGCATTCTATTACATTGGGCTCTGGTTAAGCAAGAGATCATAAGTCTATACTCTAAAATTGGCACGAGCACGATGTTGTTTACATATATAATCTGACTAAAAGACATTTTTTTGAATTTAAGGAGACCTGTTATCTTGGCTACTTCTTTTCTTGCTTTGTGAATATCCGATCTTTTTTGATTTTTTGTTGATATCCAGACTCCTAGAAAGCGAGTAGATTCCTTTGGGCTCTTCGCCAATATTTTTACTTTCGGGTTACCTGCCCAAATATGAGGATCCTTGGTATCTTTAGGTTTGCTCAGTTTTATAACTACAAGTTCAGGTTTGTTTAGATTTATCTCAATATTATTCAACTCGTAAAACTCGTTTGATAAATCAATTGTTTTTTTGCATGGCTTCTAGTCACCCACGTTGTATTGTCTGTATTAGATTGATCATTTAGTTTTGGATTGCTGCTTTGCATCTCATACCCTAAATTTGCTTCTTGTACTTTTCCATACCAAAGGAGATAGCACCTTTCCTTGGTCAATTCCATCTTCTGCTTCAGTAGCTTTTCTTTTGTCGTAAAGATTTGTAATAAAGTTTGCTAGCTTTGGTGGAAATTTGATTCTCTCTAACACTTTTTTAAGTGCTATTATACTAACTGAATTAAAGGCTTTTTTCATGTCTTGAAAAGTAATCCAGAGCTCTTTTTTTTTTTTCTACTGCCTCTTCTATTATATTGTTCATAATGTAAATAGGTGCAGATATACTTTCCCCAGAGAGTCCAGCAAAGTTTGCACCTTTTAGTACACTATTTCTACTTAACACCTTGTCGAGTCTCACTTGTATTATTCTCGTTATTACTTTTTTTACATGTTTCAAGTAAGACTATTGGCCTTGTATAGCTTAGATTGTATTCCCAAAAGCTTCCTTTTGGGATTAGATATACCTGACCCAGTTTCTATTTCTCTGGGATATTTCCACTTTCTAACACCAAGTTTGCAAAATTTATCATCCTCTCGATTATCTTTGTAGAGAGCTTTTTTGAGTAGTATGTAACCAATGCCTGATATGCCTGGAGCTGTGCTGTTTTGTGTTTTGCCTAGAGCTTGTGTCTATTCTTCTTTGCTAATTGGGTTCATTACTTTTTCGTATATTGATAGATCTATGTTCTTCTTTGGCATATATTTGCTTTTTCGTATATTGATGGATCTATGTTCTTCTTCGGCATATATTCATTTTTCCACTCCTGGCTCATCTCTTCAAACTTCTGGTTTTTTCAGAATTGCTTTTGGAAATGTAAGATAACTTGCCGCTTCACCTCTGTTTTCCCATTAACGAGTTCTAGATTCTGGTAGTCTGATTCTTCTCCTACCAGAACCCTGTCCAGTGTTACCTTGTTGTATGCTCTATTCAGCAAACTTTGTAGCATTCTTTTTTTTATCATTTTTCATCATACTAAACCTTTGTTCTATTTTGTTTCTTATTTCTTTTTCTTTCTTTTTGCATTCTTCTTCTGCTTTTTTCTTCAGAATCTTTTCCCAATTTCTGAGTTCATTTATTTTTACCTGGCTCCACTGTTCTGGCATTTGTGGGATTTGTGTTTGGTTTATATTTTCAATTTGTGCATTGAACTTTTTCCTATTAGCAATACTTATTTTCCCTCCATAATGTGTTTTGTATACGATATAGGAATTTAACTTCTTTGTAGATATTGGAGTTGGGAACTGATAATTTTTCCTGGATTTTAGTTTTTTGAATATTGACTGATGGTATGTGTTTCATTGTTGCTTTCATAATTGCATTACTTAAAATGTCCCATTCTATATTAATATTTTTATTGCAATAATACAAGGACTCATGAGGTCTCTTATGCTCCTTTTCTCTTATTAAGTTTTTTTTTCAAAACGCATCTAAGTGTACTTTATTTATTCAATTATTTAATAGCTAATATATATAAATTATGTTTGGGATTCTATAAATTCTAGAATGGTCTTGCCATTGCAAAGTTTTTTACCACCCTTAAGGCCCACCATTCTATGTAACAAATTAACTTCAAATTTTAATTTAATTTTTATGCTGTTTGTAATTGCCGATTGAGGGATAGTATTGTTTCCCACCATATTTCATACACACAAATAATGTGTAGCCAGATTGCGGCCTCGCATTTTTTGTCACCTTTGACATTGGTTGCCTGGAAAATATCTGTTAGTGTATGAGGAATTGTTTCATTATCTATGGTTTTGCTAAGTGGGCATTTTAGTGTAGTCTGCGTATAATACGGACAGTTGGGGCAATCACCAGGGTCAGCTGAGTTAATGGTAACCAAGGGGTAGTGCCCTGTGCATTAATCACCAAAATGTATCTTTTTTCTTGTTTAGGTTCCATTTGGATTTGATCCATTTAAATTGGGAATGTTGTTGTGTTGAACTATTTTGGGAGCCAGCTGGTTCATATAGGCGTTTTAGAGTCTATTACACTATGAAGTATTGGCTCTCAGTCCCACCCAAGTTAATATCCTTTAGTTCCCAAGGCCAAGTCCCGGTGGCTTCAATTTTGCCTTTAAATTTTCTCTAGGCATTTAAATATGGCCACCATCTTTCCAGCCAGCCCTTGCTTTTGCAGGGGTTTTGTAATAAGACTTCTTTAACTGTGGCTCCTCTTTTGTTTCTTATATTTACTGAGATTTTTCTCTTTCCGAGGTTGCCTAAAGAGAGTGACTGGATAAAAGCTTGAGCCAAATTGATAGGAGTCTGGTGTCAAGCATGTCTTTTAGAATCGGGGCACCCAGGCCACCTTTTTCACAACTCAGCTGGAAGGTTGAAAACTGAGAGAGTATTTGTGAACTGTTTTTAATCCATTTTCTTATCAAAGTTTCGATTTCCTTAAGTTGCTTTCTTGATGGTGGAAGTAAGTAAGCAAGGTACCATAATTTGGACACCAGAAGTGTTTTAGCCATGAGGATTTTCCCTCTAAAAGATAAATTTCTTTTGGAGAGGTCATTGATTTTTCTTTTAATTTTCTTTGTCATCTCGCTTAGTGTTCCAAATCGTTAGTTGGAAAACCAAATAGTTAACAACTTTCCAACTAACCAGTTAGAAAATTTTTTAATCAACTAACCAACTAATCATTCAATTAATATAATTCTGAGATATTCCACTTATTTGGGATAATTCAGAATGATTTCTTGGAGTTGATTGGCTAATATTATGTGATATACATAACCGGTTAGTTGCCAACTATAGTTGGCAACTAACTAGTTGGTAAAATTTTAACAATTTGGAACACTAATCTTACTCCAGAGATTTTTATTGGGGTTTCCTCTGACATCTATACTGTATCCTAAAATAGTGAAGTATTCTTGATCGTTGGCTGGAGCTTTGAAGCTGTGTTGTTCCAGAAGTTCAATCCTGCAAGCGTTGCTTGTAATTGGTATAAGGATTGACTTACTCTTGTTACTCTTGTTGATAACTGTGTTAGATGCTTTTTCATAGTCCCAAGAGTTTTAAGAAGTATTGTCCAGTCTGTAGGAGAGCCAATTCTGATGGATAGATCATCTGCGTATGCAGCTATTCTAAAGTTCATACTGTTGATTGGAATGCCTCTGACGCCTTGAGAGATACCATGTATTAGTGAGTTAATTGCCAAAATATAGAGAAGAGGGGAGAGCGGGTCTCCCTGCCTTGCCCCTCTCTCAGCCACAGAGCCATGATAACTCTAATAAATTTATAGTCGAAGTTCATTTTTTCCAGCACTATATTTAAAAAATCTGTCAAAGGCTTTTTGTTGATCCAGTAGAAGAAGCCAGTGTTGCTTAGTTTAGTCCTTCTGGCTCCTTAGTGTTGTAAGAATGTCTATTGCTGAGTCCGTGATTGATCTATTGGCAATAAAAGCCTGCTACGCAGGGCCAATAATGTTGTTACAGATTGGGTTAATTCGGTTTGCTAAAATTTTCATAAAGATTTTTGCATATGTATTGACCAATGAGATTGGTCTCCAATTATTGAAGTTTTCTAACTCACTGTTCTTTTTGGAAATTAATGTGATTAGACTTCTGCCCCATAACCTTGGGATCTGGCCTGTGCTGAGAACCTCATTAAAAATCTTGGCTAGGATTGGGTAATTGTCTCCTTAGTGTTCTTATAAAATTCATATGTGAGGCCATCAGAGCCTGGGGCCCTGCTATTAGAAAGTTTACTAATTATTTGAGCAATTTCCTTTTCAGTAATTAACTTGGTCAGAGTATGGTTTTGTTCTAAGGAAACTCATGCTAGATTTTCTGTAATATGAAGGGCTACTTCCTTATCAATAGCTTCCTTTTTGTAGGTCTTTTGGTAGTAGTCCTTAATATAATTTAAAGTTTGTGCCTGAGAATGGCTATCAGGTCTTTTATTTTAGAGCAACTTGTAGTGGAATATCTTTTTTTATAAAGTGCGAAGAAGTATTTAGTTGACTTTTCTCCCTCTTCAATCTATTTGGCATTAGATCTAATCTGCTATCTTTCTGAGAGATATACTAATTCTTCCTTCAATTTTAGGTTAAGGTCCTCTGTTACTAGCTTGAGGTCTGCTAGATCTGGGCTTTGAGCAATCTTATTGTTTAGGTTGCACAACCTCTTGTGTAATCTTTGGATATTTCTTTCTGGGGGTGAACCGGGTTTGTGGGCTCTTATTAGCAATTGAATTTTGCATTTATAGTAGTCCTGGTCTGAGATGTCATGGGTTCTTTGTATTTCCCCCAGAATTCCTGCTCTAAGCTCTAGGATGTCCCAGAACTTCCTATTGAATCTCTATTGTGAGCTGTAGGTGTGTGATGATTTAAAGCTAAATTCTGACTCTACTAGTAGATGGTCAGAGTTACCAAATCTTGTACAAGTGTTCTTGCAAAGGTAACTAAAACTAGTCTCAATGAAGATATAATCAAGGCATGTTGCCATTCTCTGGCTATTGTGAGTTGACTGATCGAAGGTGAGGAAGGGACCCAGGAGGGTTTGTAACATGTCACGTGAGTGATCAGGTTGTATTATTGCGTTACTTATTCTGTTCTTTTGTGGGTCTAGGTTGGTGTTGAAGTCACTAGCGATAATGCATATTTTTTTATGTGTTATATTCGGTGTCCATTCTTCAAAGAAATGAACCCTGTCCTCCTGTCTTGGGGTGCATATATGTTAGTAAACTGGAACAGTTGTTGGTTGATTTCTGTGTTGACAGAAATTATATGGCCATCTTGAGATTTCCTAATTTTGGTAAGTTCTATATCCATTTTTGAGGACCAGATTGAGCTGTATCCCCATTGCTGAGCTAAAAAGTTGTTTTTTGAGCTTTAGGTCTGTTATTTAGACCTTTAACATTAAGTGTAGCGATCTTGAACATAATAGAAGAATGAATATATAAAGCTACACCAAGAGTAGAGGTTAGTGTATAAAATTCATGTGCACAGTTGCACTTGGGCACCTTAGAGTAGCCAAGTGAAGCTTTGTTACAAAATTGGTGGGGTATAGTTTCTAGAAGTTTCTGTACTGATAAAACCTTGTATATCTTGACAAAAAGAAACACTTAACTACTAAAAATTAATAAAGTGGCTACTGTTAAAAAAAAAAAAAAAAAAGATAACTAACTAAAAAGCCAATTAATAACTTATTATATTATTATTATTATTTTTCCTTTGATAACTGTGTACTAAAAGGTTTATTAAATTTTTAATGCTTTATCACAAATACATGCTTAGGCAATTCAACAAGGTAATTAGACTAAGGCTGGCTGTCTACTACAAATGCCCAACCTTGGTTATCGCACTGATGTTGGCCACTATACCCCACACTAGTGTTGCGGGCGAAATTATATATTTCGCCCAGGCAAAATTTTCGAAATAGGGCGAAATATATTTTGCCCAAAAGCCTGAAATCTGATAATTCCAAAACTGGCGAAATTGGCGAAATGTCCGAAACCTGGCGAAATGTCCAAAAATTGGCGAAACCGAAACCTGGCGAAAGTTCTGAAATCTAATTTTGAATTTTTATTAGAAAAAATACCTAGAGTGTAGTGAAACAGAGTGTGAGATATCTTCACTCAAA